CAGGTCCTTCTCAAGGGCTGCACAGCCCTCTGGGCTACCAGCCACTCCTCTCAGCTTTGTGTCATCAACAAACCAGTTCTAACAGCTGACAGACAGGCTTTGTGTTCCCCTAGCTTGCTCGTATCTTCCTGAACAGCTCCACTGCCAACCAGCAAGAAGTTCTATAGAAACACATAGCATTCCACTCACTTTTGCCCTAAAGTAAGAGTATTTGGTCTTGAAACTGTTTATAAATTAACCTAACAATGAAGAAATCCAGCTTCAAGATGTGGAGGAAAAACCCTTCCAACACAGAGAGGAAAAAAAAGTTACTTCCAGGTTCTTCAAAGCTGGGGTGTGCATGTGTTTATCTTCTGATGCTCATATTTGGACACCTGTAGTGTTTTGCCTCTTGTGAGATGAAACCATAATTTAAAGTGATGGCTCATGTAATTGCTAGGATAAATTACCTGTGTGAATAAGCTATGTAAAACAATTCAGAACACTTGGTTATGAGAAACATTCTGACAACCTTTTATCATAGATAAAGGATTCAGCTATTTACTGAACTTTTCTGATAATTTCTTGAGGTCTGATGCCACTGAAAAGTGAGAGGATCTTTCTTTCTCCAGACTCTCCAGCAAGCTTACCCACCTCCACTTTTCAGACACTGCCATTAGAGTGAGTACATACAAGACATACTAAGATTTCCTTATTAAGATGGGCATAAGAAAGCATCCTCTTTGTATTAGTTTGATTGTAATGTCCGTTTGAAGGTGAATATCCAAGACAAATGCATTAGACTCAAAAACCCCACCTCAAAACCCCCAGTTTTATTCCCATTAGTTTGCAGCATTGCTTTTGTAAGCACAGACATAACTTACATGGTAGCTCTGCAGAGGCAATTAGTGTCATAAGGCAGAATAGAAAATCATATTCCCTAGGCAATAAAAACTTCTTACCACACAACAGTTTAAAACATTAGAAAAAGCACACAACACTAGTTTAAAACATACAAAACATTTCCAAAATAGGCTATTTCTGAAGATGTAAATACACACTCAGTAGTTGCAGGCCTAATTGGAATAGCTGAACATAGCAGATGCCTTTCATGCAAGGTACCTCAAAAGAAATTTTAACAGCCAAGATGAGGCCATTTGTACTGAAACAACTCAGCTGTTCCAACAGAGCACAGTATACATACATAAAGAAAGGATATTTGTTTCCCCATTTTTCTGCCTAGGAATCATAAAGCATCCTTTGAGGTATTCAGCTCTTACGCTAATGGTATATGACAAAATTATTTTATACACGAGGCATTAAGATTACTCAAAGACAAAATATATGGAGAAAAAAAATGATATGGCTATGATAACATTTGCTAAGGCAAGCATTTAGTTTAAATTTGATGCTCAAGGTATATTTTCTTTGCTTTCCCTCTCCTACCATTTAGAAAATCTTAGCCATAAAGTAACCAAAGTAAAAAAGACAACAGCCTAAAAAGGTATTTCATAATTATAACAATATTCTGCTATTTTCATTTAGCTTTCTTTCTAGACAGGCAAGTTTTAAACAAGACTAATGTGCCTTAATACAAAGCAGTACTCCTTTAAGGAAGGATGTGATGTCATCTTTGTTTACTTTTTATTATCAGTTTTCTGCAGTATTTGCTCAGTTAAACACATTTCAGTACAACTCCCCTTCTGCCCCTTTCACGGGAAGGCCTGATACTTGCAGAGTATGCAAAACTAAACTTGCTACAAAAACGTATTTTCTTGCAGTAACTTTTTAAACTTTTCTACTAGGAAACAGACTACAACACATTCATTACCTTAACCATCACTGCCTTATAAAAAGGAAGATTGATTCAGCAGCAAGGAAATAAATGCATGGCCAGCAAATCATAAGAACCTGATTTTTACTGCCATGCTTTATTTGGGAGATTGTGCAAAATAGAGTTCTTTGAAATTCCAGTTCCAACCTAAAGTTTCAGATCTCTTCACAAGACTACTCATGTGGGGCTAAGCCATCCTATAAGTTCACCACTATAATACACAGTTATGATATGTATTGCTGCCCAAGCCAGTTGAGGATGGATTAAGCTTAAGTTACTTCTATCAGCTGAACTAGAGGAAACAAACTTAGGTCTGCACAGCCTTTTTTCCACTTACTATCCATTTAATCATGACTCTGAAAACCTTTCAATTCACTCTCCTATGTAAAGTTGTTAGGTTGGAGAGGACTAAGAACGACAAAGCTAAGGTTATTGCAAAATAATGAGAGACACAACAAGTACCTTCAGGCTGATTTTATCATGGTCCATTCAAAGCATCACTGGCTTAGAGACCTTAATTTTAATGTTAATCAATATTCACAGAGCAGCTGAATCATTTAGTTCTCTGTCTAACTTGAAAAAGCTGGAAGGTGAAAGACTGATGGGAGCTATGTCTAAGTCTCTATTAGCAGGAGGGTGATGCCATGACAGTGCAGTGCAAATTTTTGCTTGGGAAAAGCACTGTTCACATTGCCACATTTGAGGTAGATCAGTCCCAAGCACAGAGTTCTGTCATAGCCCCAGCTACTGAACTGAGAGCTAACATCTGCCAAGGCAGAACTTTCATAGTGCAAGAGGAGAAAATTCAGTGTTAGTTACCCATGGTGACCTGTCTGTACACGCCCCCAGGTTTAAATATCTGCTTGTGATCAGAAAGCTCCAAAGTATCACTTCGTCCAACAGCAGTTCACTGGCTGGGTTTCCTGACAATAGGCACATTAAAAACTTCGTAGAGGAGGCAATAAAGCATTTGAATGGAAAGACCCTCGAGATTAAAGCATTGCTGCATGCAGCCAGCAACAACATAATAATCTCTGCCACCCAGTGTGGCAGAGCACACTGTAAAAAATTAACATAAATCTTTTTTTCTCATTTTTTGTCTCTCTCATTGGCCTAAAATACTCCACTGCACCATTAAGGGTTTTCCTTGTAAATGTTTTCATTTTCATTCAGAATTACTTGCCAACTGGAAGCCAGCTATGTATACCAACACACTCAGTTTCCAATGTAAACAAGTTTCAAAAGCCATTACAAAGTGACTTTGCACAGCATTTTCAAGGTTTTTTTCAATATCAATAATCTTCTGGAATTTATAAGACACCTCCATGGTAATGAAAGCCACAATAGGCAAGCTAATGATTTAAACAGGCTTTTCTTCAGCACTTAGCTGAGAAGCTATTCTAATGTTTATTGTCTCTAGGAAAAAAGAAAACTTAATTCCTTGCTTTATGACAGTCACAGCACATTAAACCTGTGCTGTCCAACATACTCAAAACCCTTACTGATCTTTATGAATTTAAGTTAACTGCAGGGTGCCACAAGGCCTGATAAACTGCTTGTTCAACTCCAATTATACTGTTGACATCTGGACAGGGAGAGGCTGACAAAAGCGACTAGTTTACTAAAGCCAGATAGGTCTACTTGCACCAGATGAATATTGTTTTGATTGCTGGCACTTTCACAAACCCACCCGGAAAATGATTTCTGTCCTGCATCTCTGGCTGACAAGCAGCAGTTTTGTACCTCTGATAGGTATTTCAGATAGGTAAATTTCAGAAATTTGTCATATATTCATTAAATTTGCTACATATCATAAACTAATTCCTTACTCACCATCTGAAGGTCCTCTATTTGCACCTATCCCTTTTGCTGTGAAGTTATGCTTTTAATCAATATCACAAACTTCTCTTCCGCCTTCACTGATAACTTGTAAACTGGAAGGGGAAGGAAATAGACTATCCAGTGCACCTACAAGTATGATTGAGAAATACAGCCTATGCCTTCTTACCACAAAAATAGGAACTTAGCTGGTGATACAACCCTGCTGTTGCAGCAACTCACTGAAATTCAGTATCTCATGAGCTGTATTTTTAGCTGTCAGTGAATTGGTACAGCCTCAGGTGATTGCGGATGCTCTCAGTTCCTTCTATTGTAAAGAGAGCTGTTGCCTTCCCCAAAAGATGGAAGAATTCCATCCATTCCATGAAACAATATTCTTAGATACGTGAATGTTAAGTATGAATTTCCTGTGCATGCTTGCAAAGATCAAAATTAGACAGTTCATTAGACAGCTTTGTGTTTAGTGATGGAGGTTTTTTTGCTCTCTCAAATTCTGTGTATCACTACTGCAAAAAGTTGGCTTTTTAAAGCCCATTAACACAAAGAGCTATCCTACTTGCTAGTTAGCTGAAATTCAGCCCAACTAATGCAGGGTGGCACAAGGTATCAGCACCAGAATGTACTCCTCCGGATGATTATGTCTACAAGATAAATGAATAAAGCATCTGTAGCCCTGGAGGAAGAGGCCAAGGCCCACGACCAAGACACTACTCTGCATGCTTCCTGCTTTCTCTTATCAGCTTCCTGAACACACTGCACAGAGGTGATAGCACAAAGAATAGGCGCTACCAATGCCACCTCCTCTGTGCACTGAGTTCAGTTCTATACTCATCTCGACATCTAATTTTTGTCCCTGAAAAAGCCTCATGAAACCTCCTCCAAATCAGGTACCAGCCAATACAAATTCAAAGTCAAACTTTTACCCACTTACTAAAAACAACAGATTCCCTTTCTCCTAAAGATACAAACTGTGCTATATAATAACCTACTTCAAAACTGCAGAGGAGGTCACGCATATAGACTAGCTACTAGACTGCCAGTAGTCAATAAAGTGCTCAAATAGATCAATCAAGCAATAATTGATACCACCCTAAACACCTTCCTATATAGCTGTTCCCTCTACAGCACAGAATCACGTTTGTTTATGAAGGGGAAGTAAAGCAACACCCTTAGTTCTAAACACTGAGCATCTAGTGCCCTTTTTAAGGGAACAGCAACAACAAAAAGTTAGGCAAATAGTTAGAGAAGTTGCACAAAGAAATTTCCGAAGTTCCTTTAGGTCATTTACTTAGCGTCAAGTCATGTGTTGACTTCACATTAAGTGAAACAGAAAGAGAAAAAAAGAAAAAAAACCCGAAAAATAAAGCTAACTCGTCAGTAGCTTCCCAGAAGGACCAAGGGCATCGAGACGTATAAGTGAAAGAAGCATAAAAGCACTTCGATGCTTATTGTTTGCTACATTAACACTACAGCATCTCACAGATTAGTCTAAAGGAAGCAGGATACAATACATAAAGTTTAAGAAGAAGCAACAAGAGATAGGTTTTCTCCTGGACCCTACTAACAGCTCAATTCACGGGCTCTTACCAAGCAAATAAAAACCACCTGGGCATGGCATTGCCGCCCCCGGTAGGGGCGAACCCACGAGGCCTCCCCACACAAGGGGGGCGGGCGCAGCCCAGGGCTGAGGCGGGGGCTCGGAGGACTTGGGCCCGGACCCCGGCACCCCATTACCCCGCACAGCCGATACAGGACGGCAACCGCTGGGCCAGCGCGGCCGGACCGCGCCAGGCCCGCCCCGCCCCACAGGGGCCCCCGGCAGCGCAGCCCGCCCCGCACACGGCGCTACGCGGCACGGAGGAGGACACGGACCGGACCAGACCAGACCAGACAGCGTGCCGCCCTACCCGGCGTGCTGCGAGCCGCCAAGACCTAACCCGTCCATCACACACCTACCGGCACTACCACCGCCGCCGCTCCCTCACGCCGGGCTGGGCCACCCCTTTAAGCTCCCATGTCCCGCCCGTCCCCGCAGCCGAGCGCCGGCCCGCGCGCGTCACCACCGCCCCCGGAAACGGGGCCGGCCCCGCCGATCCACCACTCCCAATGTGGCGGCGGAAAGGCGCCACCCCCGGCGCCCTCACACGGCAGAGGGCGGGAAGGCCGGCCTGAGTACACCCAGCATGGCGCCGCGCGAGGGCTGCTGCGCCTCCTTCCCTCCCCCTTGGGGCAGACGGCGCGGAAGTGTGGCGTGTGCCGGGTGCCAGTGCCGGCTGTGGGCTGCCCGTGCTGACGGGAGCTGCGGCAGCAAACAACGCAGTACAGAAGTGGCCCTATTTGTATCAGTGGGGTTTTTCTCCAGTTACTCCTCCCTACTAGGACGATGCGTTTCAGCCCCCTTCTGTGACCAGCGGGGAGAAGGAGGGCAGAAAGGGAAAGCTGCTGTTTGCAATCACCGACCTCATCCTTTGTAGTTGAACCGCGCAGCCTTTCCTGTGGTATATTCTTTCTCGGGTGTGGATAAGTTCTTCCCTGACGCTGCTGTCAGATCCTGTACCTGCATTAGCTCACGTGGCTCCTAAAGTCCCTCTTCCAGTGAAACTCAGAGCTGGGTCTTGGTTTCTCTCCTCTCTCCCAGCATCTCGGGATGCTCCAAGCCCCTGCGGACTTAGACCTCTTGAAAGGTCCCACTGCACAGCCCGCCCCCTTCTCCTCCTGCCTTAAAAATCGCCTCGGGAGCCGATTTCCCAGGCGCAGCCGCTCTGGCCAGTCCGGCCCAGCGTGATGTCCACGGCGTCTCGCTGCTAAGGTACCCGCCGTCTACAGCCTCTGATTTGTAGAGCGGTAACCCGTGGCAGTATGTGTGTTTAAAGCGCTGCACTTACATACAAAACCAGTAATGGCTATTATCATTATCGGTTGGTAAATGCCCCCTAGCTGGCCAGTGCCGATGTCCTCGGCATGAAGTTCGTTCGCCTGCTGGCTGTCCACCTCTGTCCCGCCGCCGCCAGGACTGCATTTCCCGGCAGGCCCCACGGGCACGCAGGCGTGCCTCCCAGCGTGCAGCGCGCCCGCCTTTCCGCCGGCCCATTGGTGGGCCGTGCTGCGGCCCCGCCAAACCGCGCGCGGTCCTGCGGGGTGGGCCCGGTGCGGGCGCCGTGTGGCCGCCAGTCCCGGCGCGGTGGTGGCCCCGGCTCCTCCGTTCTACAGGGGAATGGGCTGCCGGGCCGCTGCCCTGGAGAGGGGTGCGATCCGTGAGTACCGGGGCTGTACGGGGCAGTGGGCTTGGGGAGCGCTGTGGCGGCCGGGGGCGATGGGGAGTGGGTGGCCTATGGAGGGCAGCAGGGCGAGCCTGGCCTAGAGGGGCTGCGGCAGCGGGCATCTCGCTTTGGGGCGGGCATGCGCTTTGCTTTGCATCCCCTAGTGCTGTGATCCCTGGATTTTGATGCCCTGCTGTAGAACAGCTTCGTTAGAGCCGAGGACTGATGCTCTGTCCCAGGTGTGTAGCTGCCCTGCTGCCTCTTCATACTTGCCAGAAGTGTTTCCGAGGATGAAGCGTGACTGAGTACAGAGTTGCTTAGTTGCCTTCCTCATAAGCAAATATATAAAAATGTGTTGTAGTGAAAGCATATGTGAGTTTAATGATAAATATCTGGTAACTTATAAGGAGTGGGACTGAGAGCGTGAAACAAGTCGTAATAATATAATGAAATATGAGGTGTTTGGAAGTAATCATTCATCATTGCACACAGGATAGTTCAAATCCAAACTTCTATTAAGAACTGTTTGGGGGTCTATATGAACATCAATTCGTAAAAGTTTATGAAACATTGGATACAAGTGACTTTGATGATTGAAGTTCATATTTCAGTATTCTTCGTTGATGGAGTTTTGGTAACAATCTTCTCATGCAAGTAAAAAACCTTCCTTTTCACCTTCCCTCCTACACCTCATGAAGTGCAACTTTAAAGAACAGGTAGGTTCTGAGGTGCTGTGACCTGAGAGAGAAGAGGACTGAGAATTTGTGCACTTTGTTTTCAATATGAGTTTGCGGGCTTGCATTTCCTATATTCTGCTGCTTGTTGCTGTTCTTCAGTTATTTGCTGCTTCTTTCAGTTAAACCTCAATTGCTGCATTAAACTAATTGATTATTTTGCTGGACTGAGAGATCCTGGCCTGAGAAACCCAAACACTTAAGCCTTTCAAAAATTTGATTAATAGCTTTTCTGAAGTTTAGAAGCTTATCCCCATTAGCACTGCAGTATTTGGGATTACTATTGCAGGCTCTAAGGCCAATGCAATGTGTCTGTAACTTTTTACCTTGGAAAATATTTTTTCCCCTAAGTCTCTCCTGTTAAAAGCAACTGAATTATGTTTTGGCTTTTTTTTTAAAGTCCTTGCTTGACTTCAGCTGAACTGGCAGCATAAGGTGGCTGCACTTGCACTCCTTTGTATGTTCCTCTAATGACTGATTTTTGTATGTAAAGTTAGCTAAATAGGCGCTATACTCCGGCATTTTCAATTTGGAACAAGACATCGGGTTTACCCAAATTGTGTTTGTATGTTACTCAAGTCCGTTTGGTCACTGTAACCAAACTTCAGGTAGCTTCTATTCCCTATGTTCAAAAATATCACATATTTGAAGAGATGTCAGCTAAAGACACCTTAATTCCTGCAGGGCTGTGAATCCAGTACAGAGTGACAGTAGTCACTATCCTCTAAATGTGTACCTAAATTGTCTACAAAGATACTACAACTTGTACTAAAAAAAAAATCATAAGATGTCCAGAATAAAATTAAATTTGTTCAGGATCAAATATTAATTGTTAAAGCTCTTCTTAACATCTGGTAATCCTTTTCTGTGAACTCTGCCACCAGATGGTGTCATAAGATTTGAGGTGTTATCTGACTTGAGGTGATTCCAGCAAAGTAAGAGGATACTATACCTTACAAGTAACTTCTTTGTTTTTATAAAACTGTGTTTTATATTTATAATGTAAGGTTTTTGGGTTTATTTCATCAAGTCCTAGACTGTTTTACATTTTGATCCTATTGTGGTAGAGCTGCTGGAGTTCAGCCCTGGGACAAAGTGCATTACAGAGATATGATAATTTAGGCAGAGCCCTGTATTTCTATTACCTGGTCATTAATGACTACTATCTTAATATTTGAGATCCATAACTTGAATTTTCTTGGCATGAAAGCTCTTTATACTGAAGAGTGACTAAACTGCCTTGGTTTGAGTGCTTCAAATCACTCTCCAGTGATTCTTCATACTCTGTAATGACACTATAAATAGGAGAAGCCCAATTACTTACTGAGTGCTCTCTCTGCTTGTTCTCTTGTGTCTGTACAGATCTTTCTTAGGCAGTCTGAGTTATTTTGACAAGGCCAGGTACCTGCTTCTGTGGAGCTGCAATAGATGGGATGTATAGAGTAACCTGTTTTGATGTCTTTTTTGTTCTTCACTTATTATCAGTGGAAGAGATGTCATATGCATACTTGTGAAGGATATTATGAGCTTAAATAGCCTAGGAAGGGGAAAAAAATTATGCAACTAAATGTTACAGAAATAAGTATAAAATTAAGTGTTGGGTATTTCTGTCATTCTTATAAGGATCTGTATAGTGAAGACCCTTTATAAAGTAACTCGAGGTTACCAGAATAAGCTGATGTAAATACTTTTGTAAAAATATTTAAATGATTAGATTAAAATATTTAAACATAATATTTAATTAGGTTGTTTCCCCCACATCTTGTGGATCACTATGTTGCTTCTTAGTAAGATTTAGTCATTATCAATTATGTTTGAGGCTGTAATAGTAGTAGGGATGCACAGATAACTCCCTTCTCCTAAGGGTGCTAATAGGGGTGTTAGCTGGAGTGCTATGTCTGGTTTTGAACAGTTCTTTTAAAGTGCTTTGGGCAGTTTGGAAAGGGGAATAGCCAGGAAATGTGATGTTTGAGGAAAACATCTGAAGAAAACAAAACTTGCATATGCCTTAAACTAAATAGGGAGTGTGGGAAAAAAACAAAAGCTTTCCAAGTATGTGGATTTTAGGTGTTCTAAATAACAGCATACAGCAGTAATACTGAACAGCTCTCCATTCCAGTTTGGACAAAGTATACTCCTGAATCTTTTAGTGTGTGGAAAGCTCTTGTGAATAAGGCATTTAGTTTCACTAGGGAGAAATCATCATCATGATTTACAGCAAGGAAACTTACTTTGTGTATTAGGAAATTATTAGCATTGTTTATGTATAGGAGTTGGAAAAATGTGATTTGGTTGTGGCTTAAAGTGTATATGTTCTTCTGGTCTGTGCTCTCTCTTTATATTTACATGAAATAAAAATAGAAATAAGTGAAAACTCTGTACTCCTGCCAGGTGTTCTGTGCCTGTGCTAGTCTGTTTAAGCTATTTCTCTGTGATGTCCTTATCTCCAGCAGACTTTCCCTGGATATTGTAAAAATTCCAGCCATATTCATGGGATAGCATTCGAACAGTCTGCTAGATGTTTTCTAGGCCAGTTAGTGAGGTAGATTTTATTGCTCTTAGTAGGAGCTTAAAGAACTTTGCTCTGTGAAATAACTCTTCTTTCCTGGTTCAGTGTCAAAACAGTTGAGCACTTGTCTGCCCAGTTATAACATTTGCTGTGTAGTGGTGCTGCTTCAGTGCTCAGGGGTCTAGACTACTCTTAGTTTGTCACATGGAATAAATTAAATCTTGGAAAGCAGGGAGAAATTTGCCTTAAAAGTTTTGCCTCTGGTACAAGTATTTTAACTTCTGGAGTGTAATACAATTTTCTCCTTTTCCTTGTAAAAATAAGAAACCAACTACAGAATAGTTTGTACTGTTCAGTGCCTGACAGAGTGCTGGAGGAGAATCATACTGTTTGGCAGGACTTAACTTTAGTAAGCCCTTAAGTGTTTGTTGCCTGGGTTGGGTTGCACAGGTCAACATCTTAGAAGTTAGTGCCTCACACATGTGCCGAGAAGGAGGGTTAAGGTAATTAGTGGAAGTTCTAGTGGGGGATGCATGGTAAATTCAGATGCTTCATGGGCAATGAATCTTGGAAGGGAAGATAGTCTGTGAATGCTGGTGCTTTATTCCATGTAAATCCTGCTGGAGGGGGATGAAATTGGAGCACAGGGCTTTGTATTATTACTATTCTACACTTCAGCTGGTATGTGTGCAATTGGTTGGTGCAGGAGAGAAGTCAGTAAGGCACTAAGTAGTGACATCTCCACAAGGAGCTGAGCATGTGCTGAGCATGTTGCTGCAGAACATTCTGCACGGTGAATCTGTAGCCTCCTGTTCTTCTCAAGTGTTGAATTTCCACTGCTCTCTGTAGGGACATGCAGCATTTGGGCAGGCCTTTAGACAGGCCAGCACTGCTGATCTCTTTGAAGCCTCCTGAGGATTTCTAAGCAGCTGGAATGCCATGCTGCACACCCCACTCCATGGCACTTGTGGCTTTATATAGTCAGAGTGTCCAGCCACTAATCTGTAGCAGATTTAATCTTGACGCACATTTTTAATGTATGTTATCCGGTAAGGTTGAATAACTATGGGCTAATGGATGTTGTAGCAGGAAGTAGTCTAATGCCTAATT